CATCTGAGTATGCTTATCCCACCGCACCAGAAATAACTCCATGGTTTTACAGTTTCGTTAGTATTTTGGTTAACAGCAAAAATATGAGCACAGATAACTGTAGGTTGTTTTGAGATGTCTTGATTTGATCAATGAAATGAAGTACGGGCAAATAAAGGTTATATATGTCTTTGAAATTCCTACTCTGTTGTTATCTGAGCTCTTCTGAAATAAGTGAGACTACAGCATAAGTATCAGCCAATTATCTGGACATTGGCAATAGCCTGAGATCTCCTGTGCCTGTTGCAATGTTTGTGCTAAATGTTACAAAGCTTTTGTAAAGGTGTAAAGGCAGATAATGCTCATGTTGACCTATCTACAACATAGGTGAAGGAAAGGGGAGAAAAAGGAACCCTATTTAAAAATTAAGTTGCAAGACAATTGATGCATTCCTTTTGATCACTATAGACAAGTAGCTCCTTTCCATCTGTTTCCTTCATTCATTTTCCTTTGCATCTTTCTTTTGCAATTCTTTTAATGCACATACACATATATTAAGTTCTGCCCTTCATTTATTCTTTTGTCATTGTTTCCATTTCACTTTCCCTGTGTTTCATTCCTGTATCTTTCTTGTTTAGACCAAGTGGAGGATCCAGCTGGCAGTAGCAGCCATGTAGGACCCTTCAGGAACCTGATGGTAAGTGCACGTGTGTACTTATACTCAGGCTTCCACCAGGTTCTGTATTCTGAGGCATTTTCCCCCCTGCTGCAGGCTTCTGTTAGTTCTTGACATCTTACACTGTAAGAAAATTAAGGGATAGACCTTGGTCTACTCATTGACAGCTTTTATATCAGAATAGTAGGTTGCATTTTTCATTGAAAATCTGCAGGAAGGCGATGCAAATCTTTCAGGTTTACAAGGATTAAAAAAGCAGAACTCATGGGGGAAAGTCTATCAAAAGCTATTAAATATCTTCGGAAGTTCCTGAACTCGATAAGTGAAAGCTGGGAGAGCATACCAATGAAGTATCACTTTACTGTTACTCTGTTCTTAAATTCTCTTCCTGGGCACCTGCCATTGAACATTCAGGGCCATGAAATGGATGCATCTGGGACAATCTTTGCCATGCTTGAGTATAGTGGGTTCTTTTAACCTTTACAAAGAAAGCTGCAAGTTAGAAAATGAACAAACTAAAGCTGGTAAAAGAAAAACGTCAAAAATAGGTTGGTGTCTCAGTTTGATGTGTGTCAGAAATTGATCTGATGCATCTGAAATTATGTATGTACACAAACAATTTTGCTCGCTATGTTGAGTAGGGGCAAGTAGGTGCTAGATGAATCTTCTCTTCAAATAAGTTCTGGCTTAAAGTCCAAGAACTTAAAACATTTCCAGCTGTATCAGCGAGCAGATTTCATCTTTTGGTTGACTGGTTTGTTTGGTTTTTAAGGAGAACTTGCAAATTATCTTCTTTCCATCAATAGCATAAGGAAGTATGTGACTTTAGTAACTCCATTTTGTGTACAAATCCTGCTAGTCTAGTGATTTCCCAGATGACACATTGGAACACCTATGCACGCATTAGCACTTCTGAGTCATTTTTGTTGTTGCTTTTGCATACTCTAGAGAGCACAATATATTTCTAATCTTGTTTTAAGAAGGAACTAATTGGGTCTTTGTTTGAAGGCATTTACAGTAACGTGTCATTATGGTGAAATTCAGTGCTGCTGTAGAGTCAGATGTAGAATTACCCAGTGACTTCATCTGCAATACCATCATATGCTGTACCATCTAGTAAAATATTGTCTATCACTGTAGCCAAGTCTGACATAGATGAGAGGGGCCTGTGGACCAATATTTCCTTGTTTCCAGTCTCACCTGTAGAAATGAGAGTTCAATCTAGCATTTTGTCATTTAAGTCAAGATACTGATGTTGGTCTTTAAATGATAAGTGGTCTGTAAAAAAAATTGTCAGCTCTAAAGGGATACTAGCAATTAAATACGTCTTATTATATCACTCCTAAGATGTATTGTGATGCATGTTTGATTCATTAGGAATGTACTGAAATTTCACACTTAGACCTTTTTACCTAGAAGTGGAACTGTTTGATTGTGTTGCTATACATTTCAAGAGTGATTTCGGGTGACTTGGGAGATATTTCTGGAAACATATTTGAAGTCCTTCATACTCAGATCTTGGTACTGCTGGTTGTAATTAGAAACATTAAAGGTGCTGATGATTAAAAAATTATGGTCAAACTGGACATTCAGTAACCTGTCAGGTAAAGATGTGCTTAAACTCCATATGCCTGTGAGAACACTGAAACATATGATAAATCATCTAACAACTTGCAGGTGTTTGATATAAAGTACAGTTGTATATAGTGTTGTCAAATAAACCAGTGTTGCTTCATTATGGCAGGTTTAGACACAGGGATCGTTACAATATTTGAGGATATTATGAGAGAATTGCTAATTCACTTTAGGAAGGGTGCATGTGTATTTTCCAAAGGTGACAAAAATTCATTCTGAGTGACTATTGTTGGTCTCTTAGACTAAAACTTGTTAAATGGGAGTAAGAAAATAAAAAAAGGGAAATTACATACCTGAAACTGAAACACATGGGAATTTGGGGAGATCCTGTGAAATCTGAGCTCCTTGAAATACAGATAATTATTTAGGTAGACTAGAATGTTCAAATAAAACCAAGCGTTTCCTTTCAAAGCTGACCTGTCTCTGATCTGTTCTATTGGAGGGGGTGCATGCTTAGAAATTTTCAGTTTGAATAGAGGAACATTTTTTAAAAGGCATTTAAATTTCTTGGCTCAAGATGTGAAAAATATTTTCAAGGAAAAAAGGGAGGAACTTATTGACAGGACTGTGAATTGGAAGAATGTGCTTCTAAATGGATTTAGGGCTATGATGCACACTTCTGAGGGAAGGGTCAGTGCGTTTAAAAAGTAGCTTTTTTTTTTTTTTTTTTTTTTTTTTGGAGGGGCAAAGGGGGAATTTGGATTGCTGCTTCTGGAGAAATCTCATTCCTGAGGGGTGGTGTGTAGAAGTGTGAAGTTTCAGAGGAGACTGATGTCTCAAACAGTGTCATGTCAAATGATCATTCTGTATGGAGAGGATGGTCTTTGCAGTGAATTGAATTGGAAGACTTCAAAGTTTCATTTGTTATGACACAGTTCTTATAGTTTCTGTATATTATGGGACGTGAATCTTTAATGGAAAAAATAGCAATATAACTTCACAGTGCATTAGTAAATAGAAGTTTTAAATGTCTTTGTCTTACTTCACTGATTAGGTTTTTGCATAATGCCATTTTGCTCTAATATTCATTGTGTTCATCATCCTGTGCAATACATGCTTCTTAATTTTGCTAACAGAAAGCACTAGCAAACTTGTCTGTGTCAGTGGACACAATGAAATACATTTATATTTTACTGTTACCCAGTTCCATCTAATTTGGTTTTACTATATTTGCCTTGTTGGTCAAGGTAATGATGCTTTTAGTCCTCTCATAATGTTGTTACTTGCTTTTATTATAACTAAGTCATCATTCAGAACGTTCATACAAGTGGAGAAACCTCTGGGTTTCTATTTCATAAGGTCTTCCAATTAACCTTAAGAAATTTAATATTTTCCATATACTTGTCTGAGATACAGTAATTTAACAGCCATATGGAGGTGTTGGGTAACTGTATGATGTGAGCTGGTTAACTCTGGACAATACATTTTTGTTATAGTGTCTTCTTGCTTTGAAAGTAAGTGAAGTATTTCAGAGTCCAGATTTTTTAGAAACTCACTGTTATCACAGAATCACAGACTGGTTTGGGTTTGAAGGGACCTTAAAGCCCACCCAGTCCCTCCCCTCCCCGCCTCTGCCCTGGGCAGGGCCCCCTTCCCCCAGCCCAGGGTGCTCCCAGCCCCGTCCAACCTGGCCTGGAACCCTTCCAGGGAGGGGGCAGCCACAGCTGCTCTGGGCACCCTGGGCCAGCGCCTCACCACCCGCACAGGGAAGAACTTCTGCCTTAGATCTCATCTAAATCTCCCCTCTTTCAGTTTAAAACCCTTACTCCTCGTCCTACCCCCACCCCCTGATCCAGAGTCCCTCCCCCCCTTCCCTGCCCCCCCTTTAAGCCCTGGGAGGCCGCTCGAAGGGCTCCCCGGAGCCTTCTCTTCTCCAGGATGAACCCCCCAACTCTCTCAGCCCGGCCTCCCAGGGGAGCTGCTCCAGCCCCCCCAGCATCTTCGTGGCCTCCTCTGGCCCTGCTCGAGCAGCTCCGTGTCCTTCTGCTGTTGGGGGCCCCCGAGCTGGCCCCAGCACTGCAGGGGGGTCTCCCCAGAGCGGAGCAGAGGGGGAGAATCCCCTCCCCGGCCCTGCTGCCCCCCCTGCTCTGGCTGCAGCCCAGGGCACGGGGGGGTTCTGGGCTGCCAGCGCACGGGGCTGGCTCACGGGCAGTTTTCCATCCACTAATACTCCCAAGTCCTTCTCCTTGGGGCTGCTCTTCAGCCACCCCTCGCCCAGCCTGGGTTTGTGCTGGAATTGCCCCGACCCCTGGGCAAGACCTTGCCCTTGGCCTTGTTGAACTGCATGAGGTTTGCCCGGGCCCCTCTCCAGCCTGCCAGGTCCCTCGGGATGGCATCCCTGCCCTCAGCGTGTCCCCACCACACAGCTCGGGGTTGTCAGTGAACTCGCTGACGCTGCACTCGATCCCACTGTCCTTGTCATCAACAGAGATGCTAAACAGTGCCGAGCCCAACACTGATCCCTGAGGAATGCCCCTCGTCACTGCTCTCCACTTGGACATTGAGCATCTTTTAATTTCTTCTGGGCTCTAGAGACTTACTGCTTTGCCTGAATGCTGTCCTTTTTACTGATCTGTCATTTGTGTTCCTCAGGAAAACAGAGTTTCTACAGAAGTATTATATTCCAAAGCTTCGTGTTTCAATTCTGCCACTCAATTTTTATTTTTTGTATTTGTTGGACAGGATTAATAATTGTGTTTTTTCTCCCCAGGAAAGAAGAAGTCTCAGGAAGGTAAGAACAAGGGAAAGAAGGCAGCTGATACAAAACAGAAAAAGGCTGATTTGGATTCTACTTCTGCAGATATGAGGGATTCTAAAGAGGGTGAGTTCTCAAGTATCTTATTTTTTTCCTTTTAACTCTTTTTGAATCAAGGGATGCTTTGTCATGTTTAGTATGTTAGCATGTTATGTTAGTGTAGCAAAGTGAACATGTTCATATTGTTTGCCCAATCTTTGTTAATAAGAAACTTGGATATCAGAAGTATGTCATTAAACATGCAACTCTGACAACAGGAAAGGCTAATGTAAAATTTAGACGTAAATCCAAACTCCACAGAGCAGAAGAGCAAAGTCTCTATTTTAAAATAATGTCTTTGGAGCTTAGTTATACAGTCATTGTTTATTGCTATTTAACAGAAGTCAGTGTCAAGGGGAAAAACATACAGTATTAATGCACCAACTTGCTAAGCATGCTGTTTGTCCTAAAGATTATCCACAAAGATTGTTTATGAATTGGCTTGGCTTTTTAACATAGTGTATATATGTAAAAATCCCTGAAAGATATTTTAAATGTGTAGGTTTTTTTGTCTGTTTTACAAGAACGTAGATCTTGCCACTGCTGTGTAACCGATAATGTTTAAAGCTCTGCATAGGTACTGATTTCTTTCGAGCTTCTTTTTCTGAACTTCTCTTGAGCTGTAACTCTTCCGTTCCTTCACTCTCTTGTCCCTTCTGCTTGCATGACATGTGCACGACAGTTGGAGGTGTCTTATGCCCCAACTAGGGAATGGAGAGGAACTTACTGCTCTATATGTGTAAGCACTTCTGCAACATTGTGTGAATTGGCAGCAAAGTTATTTTCTTCAGCAATGGATATATCTGCCTGCAGACAGGTAAGGCTGACATGCAGAGGTGTGAATAAAGAATTCTATCCACACCATGAATGAGATGCATGCAGCCTCTGATTAGAAGCGTAGGAACTAGCCATTCAGGCAATGGCTAATAGAAAATCTGATCTAGAGAATGGAACGTAGTGTGCCAGATACAAGGTACACCTTGACATGCATTACAGTACAAATCCAGACTGTTCTATTGTTAATGATTTGGGGAAGATGCTCAAAATCCAAAGTACAGGCTTCCTGTATACGTTATTTATATGTATTGCAGTAATTTGCTGACACTCACTTGCTCTAAGAAATGTCAGTGAAAGTTTGGAGGTTTCTTGAAATGTTCTGAAGTCTACCTTGAAATGTTCTGGTAATCTTTAGGCTGCTTTGGGTTTCTTGGCCACAGTGTTCAATCCAGAGAATCTATGTTGATTATACACAGTTGTCTACTTTTTGCTGAAGTTCCAGAAAGGAAATTTCTGAATACAGTTTTAGTATAGAATCACAACAGTAAGAAGTAGTGGTGTTGTGTTGGGTTATAAATGTCGGATATGTTGTATTAGAGGGAAAGGTAGAAGAAAGGTGTAGAATACTTTGAAGTGTTTGGTAAAAATGTCTGATGCTTGTCTTATCAGGTCATAAAGAGGAAGACGAAACACCTTCTGTTTCTGCTGTGCTGTCCCTGGAACAAACAGCTGTGATTCAGGAAATGGTAAATCAAGATGTACTTCCAAAGCTGATGATCCCCAGTCCTAGCAGTGAACCACAAATGGTAACTGAAGACAAACCAGGAGAAGCAATAAACTGTGCATCAGATGACTTTGATGATGATGAAGAGGAGGATGATGAAGAAGAGGAAGATGAAGAGGAGATAGAAGATACCAGTATGCCTAAAGAAAATGCTGAACTGCCTTTGATGTGTGAAGAAAAGTTAGACTCAATGGAAGAGCAAAAGAGTACATCAGAAGAATCTCCAGAGAGCTCTCCAAAGAAAAAACTTGTTGTGAAAATTCCAAAAGCGAGAGGTGAATCAAATGGTGATGTTCAGGAAACATTCATGTTTCCCTGTCAGCATTGTGAGAGGAAGTTTACAACAAAGCAAGGACTTGAACGCCACATGCACATCCATATATCTACTGTTAACCATGCTTTCAAGTGTCGATACTGTGGGAAAGCCTTTGGTACTCAGATTAACAGGAGAAGACATGAGCGACGCCATGAGGCAGGGCCAAAAAGGAAACCGTTCTTAACACTAACATCATCACATCACTTGGATAATGTTGCTGATAACCAAGTAATTGTGGATGATGGTCTTAAAGATGACCTGAATGTTTCCAGTCTTGTGCAAGACTCTGTTGTCTTGGATTCTGAGAAAGTTTCCCAGGAAATGTCAAACTCTGCTTTTGCTGAGGAAAATAAGGAGCCCAAAGAATTGCATCCATGCAAATACTGCAAAAAGGTTTTTGGAACTCACACCAACATGCGGAGGCATCAGCGTAGGGTTCATGAGCGTCATCTTATTCCCAAAGGTGTCAGAAGAAAAGGATTCTTTACTGAAGAACCACCGCTTCAGACAGAGCAGGCCCCACCAGTCCAGAGTGTGTATATAGCAAGTACAGAAATAGAAGAGGAAGGTGAAGTAGATGATGTCTATATTATGGATATTTCCAGCAATATCTCTGAGAATTTAAATTATTACATTGATGGTAAAATTCAGTCCAACAGCAGCACTAGCAATTGTGATGTGATTCAGATGGAGTCCAACTCTGCAGATTTATATGGACTAAATTGTATAATCAGTCCAGTCACAGTGGAAATTTCCTCAAATTTAAAGGTTACACAAACACATGTGAATGAACCTCTGAAGGAGCCCTCTAGCAGTGGGAACAATGAATCCAAAAAGAGGAGAACTGCCAGCCCTCCTCTTGTACCAAAAATAAAAACTGAAGTAGACCCAGAACCTATAACTCCTACTAGTTCTTTAAATCTTCCTATTAGCATTTCAACAGAAAGCTTACCTTTTCATAAAGAAAAAGGTGTTTATTTGTCATCAAAATTAAAACAGCTTCTTCAGACACAGGACAGTAAGAAGATAACTCCGTCAAGTGAAATTCCAAAACTAGGACCTTCTGTTACATCATCGCCTATCTTGCCTCCAGTATCCAGTAGATTTAAAAGAAGGACCAGCTCTCCTCCCAGTTCTCCACAGCACAGTCCAGTACTTCGAGACTTTGTCAAATCAGGTGAGGGAAAAACTGTGTGGAATGATAATATTCGGAGTTCAAAAATGCCAAAGTTGGAAAGCCACAGCAACTCACCTGCTTGGAGCTTGACTGGAAGGGAGGAAAAAGAGACGTTGAGCCCTCTTTGCTTTGAAGACTATAAAGCATCAAAAGACTGGACAGCAGCTCCAACTTTTGGCAATGTGTGCAACCAGCAGCCACTGGATTTATCTAGTGGTGTGAAACAAAGGTCTGATGTCAAAAATAAGAATCAGGTTCCCTGGGAGTCTGTTTTAGACTTAAGCGTGCATAAGAAGCCATGCAGTGATGCTGAAATTAGGGAATATAAAGAAAATTCCATACAGCCAACCTGCAGTGGTGTTAAAAAGAAGAAACCAACCACTTGCATGTTACAGAAGGTTCTGCTGAACGAGTACAATGGAACGGATGCAGCCACAGACAGCACACTCGGTGTAAACAGGAGTGCGAGCCCAAGCAAATCCCTGGAGCCTCAGGCAGAACCTGACACGGATCCCAGTCTCTCTGCATCCTCCTCTGTTGACACTCAGCCCCTCAGTTCCTCTGTTTCCCCTGTGCCACAGGCACCCGCTGTACCTTCCATGTGCCAGCTGCCTCCTTTGCTGACACCAACCAATCCTCCTTCCCCACCCCCCTGCCCGCCTGTGTTAACAGTTGCTACATCACCTCCTCCTCTTCTTCCAACAATGCCGTTATCAATTCCAGATGTCTCTGCCAGTGCCACTAACACTTCTTCTTGTCCATCGCCGCTTTCTAACACTACTACGCAGTCCCCGCTACCAGTTCTTTCACCTACAGTTTCTCCTTCTCCATCTCCCGTTCCTTCTGTTGAACCTCTTATTTCTGCTGCTTCACCTGGTCCTCCTACACTCTCTTCCTCATCTTCTTCCTCCTCCTCCTCTTTCTCCTCTTCTTCATCTTCTTCATCTCCATCTCCACCTCCTCTTTCTGTAGTTTCTTCAGTTGTTTCCTCTGCTGATAATCTTGAAAATACTCTCCCAATAATAAAACAGGAAGAAGCTGAAAGTGAACAACAGAAAGCAAGAGAAGATCCTCATACTTCAAGTGAATCAGGAGTAGTGCAGGAAACATTCAATAAAAGCTTTGTGTGCAATGTCTGTGAATCACCTTTTCTTTCCATTAAAGACCTAACAAAGCATTTATCCATTCATGCTGAAGAATGGCCCTTCAAATGTGAATTCTGTGTACAGCTTTTTAGGGATAAAACAGACTTGTCAGAACATCGCTTTCTGCTTCATGGAGTAGGAAATATCTTTGTTTGCTCGGTCTGTAAAAAGGAATTTGCTTTTTTGTGCAATTTGCAACAGCATCAGCGAGATCTCCATCCAGACAAAGAGTGCACACATCATGAGTTTGAAAGTGGGACTTTGAGACCCCAGAATTTTACTGACCCCAGTAAGGCAAATGTGGAGCACATGCAGAGCCTGCCAGAAGATTCTTTGGAACCTTCTAAAGAGGAGGACGATGAAGATCTAAATGATTCCTCCGAAGAGCTTTATACTACTATAAAAATCATGGCTTCTGGAGTAAAATCTAAAGATCCAGATGTTCGTATGGGCCTCAATCAACACTACCCAAGCTTTAAACCGCCTCCATTTCAGTATCACCATCGTAATCCTATGGGTATTGGAGTTACTGCAACAAATTTCACTACCCACAATATTCCACAGACTTTTACTACTGCCATTCGATGCACAAAATGTGGGAAAAGTGTTGATAACATGCCTGAGTTACACAAACACATACTGGCCTGTGCATCTGCCAGTGACAAAAAGAGATACACACCTAAAAAAAATCCAGTACCACTGAAACAGACAGTGCAGCCTAAGAATGGTATGGTGGTTATAGCTGGCCCTGGAAAGAATGCCTTCAGACGGATGGGTCAGCCTAAAAGACTTAATTTCAATGTTGAGATTAGCAAAATGTCCTCAAATAAACTGAAAATAAGTGCATTGAAAAAGAAAAACCAGCTTGTCCAGAAAGCAATCTTGCAAAAAAAGAAATCTGCCCAGCAGAAGGCAGAATTGAAAAATAATCCATCCGAATCAGACTCTCACATCTGCCCCTACTGTAGTAGAGAGTTTACTTATATCGGAAGTTTGAACAAACATGCGTCGTATAGCTGTCCCAAAAAACCCATCTCCCCCTCCTCTAAAAAGAATTCTTCCAAAAAAAGTGCAAGTTCTTCTCCACCTGCAAGCAGTGAAAAAGGCAGCAACCAGCGTAGGCGAACAGCAGATGCAGAAATCAAAATGCAAAGCATGCAGCCTCACTTGGGCAAGACAAGAGCACGAACCTCAGGACCTACACAAATCCAACTTCCCTCTGCATCCTTCAAATCAAAACAAAACGTTAAATTTGTACCTCCCATTCGATCTAAAAAGCCAAATTCATCTTCGTCATTGAGGAACTCTAGTCCTGTAAGGGTGTCTAGAATGTCCCATGTTGATGGGAAAAAAACTAAGGTGGTCGCTAAGAACAGTTCCTCTGGAATGTCAGGCAAAGCATCCCGGAAATTGCACGTCAGAATACAAAGGAATAATAAAGCTGTTTTGCCAAGTAAGTCTGCTGTGGCAAGTAAGAAAAAGGCAGACAGATTCACTGTAAAATCTAGAGAGAGGATTGGAGGACCTATTACACGAAGCCTACAGCAGGCGGCAAATGCAGAGGCAGCAGAAAACAAAAGAGATGAAAGCAGTACAAAGCAAGAACTAAAAGATTTCAGGTAAGCATTTCATTTGAAGTTGAAACAACACAGGAACACGTTGCTTGCTGTTTTGCCAATTTTCTTGGTATTTTTTGAGTTTCTCATACTTAAATAATAAAAAAAGGTTGCGTTTCCTAAGACATGGTGAAATATCTCAGTCATGCTGAGGTATGATGTGCATACTTGATGCATTTTGTCATGTTGTCATGAAATAATACAGTTTGTATAGAGAATGTCTTATAAACTGAATTGAAAAATCTGGAAAAAAACGTCAGTACTTGAGTGCAAGTAAACTTAACATTATTAAACTTAATGTTGTTGGAGACACTCACCTTGTATTTGATATCTAACGTATATGGTGGCCCGAAATCATTCTCAATTTAGGTTATGGTGGTTTGATAAGCTAAAAATCATGACTCCATTTTTTTTGCTCACTAAAATAACTTGCATTGTTGGCTTTTAATAAAAAGCATTCTCTGCATATCTTATATATAAAAAAACCCAAAAACACACACACCATGACCAAATACTTCAAAAATGTATATGCATACTAATTGAGTCAGATCATTAAATACCTAATATAACGGAAATAGACGTGTAAGAAAAGTTACATGAACATGTAAATTTATTAGAAGTACCGTGCTCTTATGTTTCAGTATAAACAAATTTTATAATTAAAGTTCTATTTCTTTTTAAAAAGCATTTTAATCACAAGAAAGGGTAATACTTCAATAAATAAATAAAATCTTAATCCATGTGCCTGAGTCCCGACTTATGTCTTCATGTAGTCTCTCAAATCAGTAGGATGTTTTGCGGAATGTTTATAACTTTTTAGCAGCATGCTCCTGCTCTCTTGATCCTGGAAACAGGTATCTGATTTGCTGAGTAACGTTCACAAAGCTCACTGGTAATCAGGAGTTCTTTTGGTTTTGGTGATTGCAGTGCATGGCTGTGATTAACACCAGTTTTATGGCTGAAGGTAGTACTTTTTTTATCAAAGTAATTGATACTGGAGGAGGGGGAGGAACTGGCAGCCTCCTTCAGAATAAGTGTCCCCTCGCAGAATTTGTCAAGAAGTGTCAAAATCCAAACTGTTTCCAACTTGTGTGTCTTACAGTGAAGACCTCCTAGGTGAAAATTTTGAGGAAATACTTTGTAAAGTAAGGGTTAAATATAGCAGAATTATTTCAAAGTGCTAAAGGCGAATGTGACTTAAAATAGTCAATACCCAAATTAGGACATGTTGAAGGAGAAAAATGTTACTGAAATTTGGAGGCTAATGGTGTAAAAAAATGCCTTTAAAGAACAAGAAATGTCTACCAGATCTGTTCTCTTAGGACATAAACATCTTTGTGTTACTTAAGTCTTATCAGCTGCTCTCTTGTTGTCATGTGTGAAACTGTGTTTTACATGATGCCAGAATGGATCAGTAGAATTTGAAGCCAGGATGACACATCTTTCCATCTAAATTAATCATTTGACCTTAAGCAAAATAGCCAAGTACTTGGAAATCTGTGGCTATGGAAATTGTTTAAGAGTATTTGGGGTAAATAACCATTTACCTAGGGGTAAGATTTCCTTGACTGTCTTAAATACAGTTAGTTTACTTTGGCAGCTTGCAGTCTTTACTGGTTTAATGAATAGTTATGTTAGAAGAATATTTGCTTTCTGTTTCTGAAATAATGTTCCTAAATCTAGATTGTCTAGTCATCTTTTTGTTTATATCAAGTATATGGTGTGAAGAATTTTTTTGCCTTCATACACTAGTGTTAGCACAGCCTAACTTTGATAATACTCTATGTAGGCACTGTTGGTTTGGGTTTTTTCCCCAGGAAATCTTAATATTTTTTTCAAGACTTGCTTCATGTAATACTTGTCTCCAAATTTGTTTTTCACCTTTCAGTTTTTCTGTGTAAACATACTCCGTTCACAAATAATTTGTTTTGTCATTTATCTTCAGTTTTTGTTTTTTATTTTCTAGGAATCTCCTGTAAAATCAAAAACAAAAAAAAATCCCTTAATGACATGGTAGAGCTGTTGCATGCTCAACTTAGGATAAGCACTACGACAATGGATGTGAAATCCACCAAGCTTGCGAAACCAGCTGAAGCTGACTCACAATCATAAAATTGCCTGCAGGCTTCTTGCTAATATTCAGTGTCAGGCGTAGATTTTCTTATTCCGTGCCTGATACACATGCTGGGCTACAGGATGATTCAGATAAAAGAGAAGGGTACTCTTAAAAACAAAACAAACCCCACACGAAACCATGAAAAAAAAAAAAAAATTGTGGGATTAACTAAACCAAATCTTTTGCTGTCGTGTTTGCTTAGATGCCGGTTTTGTCCGTACCTTCATGAATGGCACACAGGCAGTTCAGCTGCATACTTGGCAAAGCAGGTTCCTTAATTTTGTCAGTAACTCAGTGTAGATTCAGGGACAACAAATGTTGCTGCACTCAAAGTATTTTTGTCATGTATTAAGTCTCTTAAAGCCTTTTGTCTAAATGAATCAGTAGAGGCCAACCTAGCACAACAGAATTTCCTATTCTTCCCACTTTCTCCTCGCTTTCTGAGTCTTGTAGATGTCCAGCATATGATGGGAAAAAGCCTGATTTGGATATTTTGTGGATTTTCCAAATTCCTATTTATACACGCAAAGGAAACTTTATATAGCAATGAAATACTGATATCAATTTCTAAATACCATATATATAATGAATGCAGTGTATCTTTTTATCAATAAGAAGGCTAGACCAGGACTACATACCTGTATATTTTGAAAGTTAAATATATAATTACTCTAAAAGGTTGTACACCTCTATCTAATAACTTAAGACAACAAATCGGTCTGTTGTTCGTAACAGCTTTTTATGGGAAAACCGTTTGTCATGTGTTCATATAGCTTTCAAGATCAATGACAGAATTGATGGAAAGTGACTAGTTTCTTTATACAGCCACCCCTTTTATTTTTTGTTCTTGACTTAAAAAGTAATCTACCTCTTAAAATTTGTAGTTTAATACTTGTTTGGTGAATTTGTGCCACTTTAACTTTCACTTTCACTATCATTCCCATTTTGTTACATTTCTGTTATGGGGACTTTATGTTGAAATATTGTATAAAGCATTTGTAGCAACTTTAAAAAATAAAATATTTAAAATTATTTAAATTGTTTTGGACACTTCAATTGTACTATATGTGATTTACATTTTACATTAATTTCATTTTGTTTTCATTTTGGGTTGTTAATCTTGGAGCATGTTCCTGTATTAAAGTTTGCTGTTAGTTATATTGTTTCTTCTATTGGAGAGTGATATAAAGACTATTCTAATGAAAACATTAAAAATTACAATTTGACATAAAAGTGGGGTTGTCATTGCTTTTGAACATTGTAGCCTTGCTGAAGATACTGTAAATGCAGGTAAGCAACTGAAGAGGGATGTTTCTCCTCCAGCAGGCAATACCTCCTGAGAGTTGCAGATGTATTAGAGTCTGTGGTGTTGCAAGCACTTAATGACCAACTAGATGGAACTATCATGACACGTTTTATATAACTGTAACCAATAAAGTAAACTTTGTAAAAATCTGTGGGAAACTTGCCTTTTGTACGGAAACAAGATGTAGGAGGAAAAATGAAACAATGTACATCTAGAAGGAATTAAGTGTGCTTGCACCCTTTAGTTGTCTACACCCAGTTCAGGGAAACAAATTTATACCAATTGGACACTTTGAGTTAGTCTTAGTTTTTTTTAACTGTGTCCACAGTTAATAAATTTAAACTATTTTAATTACATACACCGTTTCAACTTTTTCTGATGTCGTAATGTTCTATTTTTATATGTTTCAAACTTGTGAAATAGGTTAATATTAAAAATACACTTAAAGAATTTTGGCTCTGAGAATTTTGGAATGTTGTATTCTGCCACCAAGATAAGCATTCTGCCTCCTGCAGCAGAGCTGGAAGCATCTGTGTCCATATCGCCGTGGCAGTTGGGTGGAATAATATAACATCATTAAGACTAACAGTATTACAGTAGCAAGTTTCTTAGCTTATTCACTATTGATCCAGTAGTATGTTCATAGTTTATGGAGTCATCTATTCAAAATGATACTTCTGCTTGAGTAAGATTCTTTGGCAAGAACTCCCTGTTTATTTTCTCGTGTGATATGTCATTCCTTGAACATGTTATCCTCTCCATAACAGAGTTTTCCCTGAATTTTAACTGATAGGGGAAATCTGGTATGAGGACGCAGAAGTTCTAACATTGTTCATTGAGCGCTCTTGCAGGCACATTGGCAATGTGACAATATACTCTGCACTTTGGTAGTTGCACCATGATTAAAAAGATGAATTCTTAGTCTAGGTAACAGCAGCAGTCACATCCATGAGATCGTAGGACAGCCACTGGGTTTTTTAGTATTGATTAGTCTTTGCTGTATTTACCCAAGTTGAAAACATTTTCTTTTGCATAACCATAGTTGTATTTGGGTATTTTATAAGAATTAGGAAACATGAGAAAAAGGTAACAACTCTCCTGTAGTCTTGAAGTTACTGAGGGCGGGGAATGAAAGTATCCTGAACTAGTTGTTTCACACCCTTCTTCTGTTACTCGCAAATGAAATACCAGTTGGTGTTTGGTCATTCTGCAGTCTCAGTATTTTGGTCACCTTGTAAGGATTTGAGATGTCTAGCGGTGAACTGAGCATAAATAAACCAACAGTCTTCCCTCATTCCTTAATATTATGGCAAGAATCCTGTTGCCATTGTCTTTACTGTTTTTCTGCTGTGATATTGTCCTGTTGTGTCCCAAGGATGTTGCAGCACTGAGATGTTCACGCACATTTGTACACACCAGTTTGCCAGTGAAGTGCTGTATGATGGAGATCTGGATTTCAAAATGGACCTAATCACCAAAGAAAGTTTCATTCCTAGATGGGATACCCATCACAGATAGTAAATGTGCAACTTTTATAGTTGCTTTTGCATCTCATCTGCATAATTGAATTTCTGTGGCTTT